GTGCACCCCAGACTGTTCAAAGTTGGCGACTGGGTTTTGAGGAAGGTCATGGGCAACACCGTGGTGCCAGGTGAAGGCAAACTAGGGGCAAATTGGGAAGGACCCTACAAGATAACCGGTCTGGCGGGCAAGGGGGCATACCACATGGAGGACTTTGAGGGAAGAGGAATACCTCGGCCGTGGAATGCGGCCAACCTCAAACTGTACTATTTTTAGCTTTTGTGTTCTTTTTGTGCAAAGGAATTTTTTGCCTCACACTTCAAAATGTAATATTCTTTTTGTCAATATAATAAAAGTGTCTCAGCTTTGCTTTAGCATTCAGATTGTTGTTTTTTACTTTGACATTCCAACCGAGATGTTTTACTCCAATTAATTGAATTGATGAACTTTGACATTCCAACCGAGATGTTTTACTCCGGTTAATTGAATTGATGAACTTTGACATTCCAACCGAGATGTTTTACTCCGGTTAATTAAATTGATGAACTTTGAGATTTCAACCGAGATGTTTTACTCCGGTTAATTGAGTTGATGATTTACTCAACTTTGAGATTTCAACTGAGATGTTTTAATCCAGTTGACTGAGTTGACGATTTACTCAAACTTTTGTGAATGTCAACCGAGATGTTTTATTCTGGGTGACTAAGTTGATGATTTGCTCAACTTTGAGGTTTTTAACCGAAATGTTTTATTCCGATTGACTAAGTTGATGATTTACTCAACTTCTTTGAACTACAACCGAGATGTTTTACTCCGGTTGACTGAGTTGATGATTTACTCAACTTTATGATTCAAACCGAGATGTCTTTTTCGGTTAAATAAGCTAAACAAGATGGTTTGTTTTGCCGAAGTATTTTTTCTGGCTGAAGTTATCTAGCTCGAAGACCGTGCAAACACTTGATGAAAATTAAACTTTTTCACTGATGTGCAAAATAATTACAAGAGAAGGGGCAGATAGCCCGGTTACATGTCCAAAAAAAAAAAAGAAGACAAAGAAAACTAAGCTAGTGGGGAAAGGTCTGTGAATTCATTCCTGATCGCGACCTCCAGGTCGACCGTGGTTGTGGTCTCCTGGGCGCCGATCTTCTCCTAGCCGGCCTGATTTGGGCGGTTGTCACCCTCCGCATTCTCCTCGGCGTCTTCAGCTTCTTCTTCCTCGGCCTCAGCCTGCAACACGCTAAAGACGTCGTTGGCATAGCGCATGAGATAGGTCGGTAGGAAAGCAGCTGGAGGAGAGGCAAACACGTCGGTATCAGGTCCTTGGCCGAGCTGCTCATAAGTAGCCTTCTAGCCTGCCTTGAAGAAGATGTCTTGGGTGGCGTGGACCTGCTTAGTGTAGTGCTCCTCGGCCTCCTTGAAGCCGGCATTGTTTGCATCCTCCAACTCCTCCTTTCTGGATTACTTCAACCTCTCTAGCTCGGTATTGAGCGCATCCCTCTCTTGCTCGGCAACACCAAGTTGGCCGAGCAACTTTGAATTGTCTGAATTCGCCATCTATAGTGATGCTTTGCATCGACCGAGCTCGACTTGAAGGTGTTCCACCTGGTTGGTAGAGTCGTTGGCCTTCTGCCGGAGTCGGTGAATGCGCTCCATGGCCAAGTGTTGTTTCTGGATAGCCTGCAAGAAGAAGGTTTGATTAGAAAGAAAACCGAGCAAACACTTGGAAAAGTTTTTGGCAAAATGTGCAAAGTTCTTACCCTGGTCATAGACTTGACCGAGGATTTCACCAGCCGGGTGTCCGGCACATGGTCGTTGCCGACCACGTCGCTCGGTAACAGCAAGGCTTTGGTGAGGTCAAAGGCGAGCAGATGCTCCTTGTTGCCTTTGACAGAAGCTGTCGCTAGGATCTCTTTACCTCGGTGCTTGAGTTGGGGCCTCCATGGCGGAGTTGGGTCAGCTATCACGGCAGGTTGCTCGGTGTTGAGCTCTGTAACTAGCTCGGCGGAAGGGTCTGGACGTGGCCTTTTGCCAGCCCGGCGATTGTCTTTGCTGGCTTGCCCGGCGGCGGGAGACACCAGTGCAACCACGGTCCCGCTGGATTGCCCGGCAGCAGGAGAGCGGGTTGGGATGCTTAGTATCTCGATGGAGGTGGCAGTGATGAGGTTCTTGATGCGGCTTCTTTTGGCCATCTCTTCTGCCTCGGTCAACCAGATGAATGGCACGTCCGATAATATGGGATCGGGAGGTGGAGATGGAGCGCGAAAAAAGTCTGTGACTTCACTCCGGTGTGGAGCTGAATATCTGTATGTCGGTGTGTAACCGAGGAGCTCGTGGCAATGCCAGTTGCAGTAGCAGAGCACGGTTCTGATGGCTGTTTTGTTAGGATAATGGTAGTTGGCTTGCAAAGCGTCGATTGATGCGAAAATGAAAGGAACAAAGCACATTAGTACAAAATGGTTAACGAAAGTAATCTAACCGAGCAGTTAGCACAGCTTACATGTTTCGCCAAAATTTTTGCGGATAAACCAGCCCGGCACGTCGGCTGTTTCGTAATTACAGGACACCCAGAAAAATTCATCATCGTGCAAGTCCTTGTCTGGGGTGCCGGTCACTATCTTCTCCTTGTCCGGTCTGATTTTTGAATAGTAGGCAAGGCCATCGCCTGTATGCCTGAGGGTATATTGGCGCAGTATCTCAACTAGTCCTAGGTTGGTTCCTAGCCAGTTGTTCAGTTCGTGGATCCCGTTGATTATTCTGTAAGTGTTGGTTGAGACCCGGGTTAGAGCTAGCCCGGTGCGCCGCAAGAATTCGTAGATCAGCGGGTTAACCGGGAAGCGGAGACCCCCTTCTATAATAGACGGCACGGTGAAGGGACACTGGTCTAATCTGCCCCATGGGGTTGTATCCTCAACACCGAGCTCTAAATGAATGTTGTCCGGGATACCGTATTCTTCCCAGAACGCGGCTAGAGCGACCGGGGTGTCGACCAGGAAGCGGTAGCACCCCATGTGTGGCCGACTGGTTTTAGCTCGGCTAAGGTGGTTTGGCACAAACTCTTGCTTGATGGCTGCTCGGTCTTACAGAGCCTCGGAGTTGGTGTGGTCCCCTTGGACTCTGCAGGAAAATGAGGAAAAGTGTAAGTGGAAGCACGGTCTCGCAAAACGAGCTTGACTTTAGCTCGATCAGATGGAGTGCCAGACCACCTCGGTCACGAAGGTAAATTCAGAAGCTCAGCCGGTCAAGCGGACCAGATATAATCCCGGTCGACCGGCCAAGTACTCTGCCTACCTCGGTTTCTACAGAAGTTTTCTTTAAACTCGCAATTTGCTCGGTCTGTATGGTTTTTGGGATCAATAGAAGACCTGGAGCCCGGTCCGTCCCAGATCTTCAGGTGTTCATCACTGGAGCTGAAGAACAACAAGGAGAACAAGGGGCATTGGAGGGTTTTGGGGAGTTATACCCTAAAATCTATAGTTTTTGTGCCCTAGAATGTGGAATATCAAAAGAAAAAGCGATAAAGATGATTCTAAGGACTTACCAGTTTAGGGGCAGAAGTTGCTTCTTTGAACACGAACGCTGGAAAGGGCAAGAGTGGAAGCTGCTGAGGGCACTGGACCTCTGGATCGACAAGAATGAAGGAGAGTCAGTAAGAACGAAAAGTGAAGGGGAGAAGACGTATAAATAGAAGTGAGAGACCGCCAAAAATTTTGAATGTGAAGGGACGTGATGGTTGGCTGCTCAAGGCCAACAAACGAGCGACACGTGTCCCAATTAATGGCGGCGTCAGAGTTGAAGAGACAGGAAGGCGACATGAGACGTCGGTCGAGCAAATCGAGGAACCAAGCATTGGAATTAGTGCGGTTGATGTCTTGCAAACAACAGACCGAGGAAGGGTCTACCCTGGTCGGATCATGTAATCCCGGTCACACTTTTACAGACGGAATTAAGGGGCAATTGAGAGGGAGATTTTATGAGCTGGAAACGGGCCATGGTAAGGGCCGGGCAAGTTGAAGGCCGAGCGCGTTTGGGCTAGGATAGCTTTGGGCTTGCACGGAGATGGGGCTGCTCAGCTAAGGCCCAAGACCGAGCTACTTGAACTTGCACAGGTGGGAACCGTGCTACTTGCGTTGCTCGACAGGAAGGCTCGCGCCTTTAGCTCGGCATGAAGGCCTTTGTACCCGCATTACCTATTTCGAGCTCGGCTCTGCCGGAATGCAACTGAGTTCGGTCGGTATGGAGCTCGGCTAGTGAGCATTCGGGCATGCGGCGCAGCACGACCGTGTGAGGCCGAGGTGATTCCGCCAGGCTCTGCCAAGATATCCTGACAGTTTGGTTAGGTGGTAATTGCTGGATTTGTGCTGACAGATGGGATAGCAGCACCACGTGTCAAAAGACTAATGGGAGTAGATTTGGGGCTCAGAAGGTATATAAGCGTGTCTGCGCCCCCCATGCTGAGGCAGATGATCATTTGGTGAGATACACTTAGACATTCAACTCTCTCCTCTCTCTCTCTCTATCCCTGAGTGTGTGCTGACTTGACCGTCGGAGGGGTTTTCCAACCACACACCGCCGAGTAGCTCACCGCCGTTGTGTTCGCAGGTCGATCGGACAGACAGGGAGCTTGGAAGAAAGGAGTATAGGCTCGCCGGAATATTTGCTCCCCGTACAGCCGCAAAGGCCCCACTGGAATTGGGTTCGACCAAGAGATAGGGTTAATCAATGCGTCGAATGAATGGTGGGCTAGAATTGAGAAGGTAACGATTTTAACTTATGTTTACATAATTGAACTTTTTGACGGTTAAACTATGTCAACTATGCCACAAACAGATGTTAAACTCCATAAACATATTACAACATTTACGTATACTTTTCATGCCTACAACATTGAAATACAAAGGAAACATGCGATGACAATTCTAACATATTTTGGTTTTTCTTTTTTTTTTTTCTATCAGCACATAGACTGTTCATGCTTATACTGTTCATTACTCTTGTGCATACTGCATGTACATAAGTTATTCATTTCGCTAATTGTGTACTCACATTCTATTGTATTACAGGTTGATAAAGAAAGTTGCAAGTTCAGAACAAAGCGGTTTGATCATGAGAAGTTGATGCGTCGCGTATTCACTGGGGCTGCGGCAACGGGTAAAAATGCTTGGACGCCTGGCGACACGCGAAACCAGTTGGAGGTGGAAGGGGAGTCCGACAGTGCTGACTTTTCTACGGTTAGCAATGAATTGGGCGCAACTGAAACATCTAACTTAATGAAATCCGCAACCATTAACGCATCAGGTAGTGGTAGCAAAATGAGGCACTCATCCGTCACAGCCGTGCAAAAAAAGTGAATCACCGGGGCAGAAGCATTGGCAACAAGCATAGATGATTTGGTCAATTCGGTGAAGACCCAAAGCAAGGAACTCACTGTAAACCATGTTGTCGGTGGCCATAGTGCCACTATGGCTGAAGCAGTTGAACGTTTTTATGAAATTCAGGGACATGACCAAACTAATCCACTGCTCCATTTCGTAATTTCGCTTATAAAGGTGCCCAATAATAAGGAGATGGTGATGGGTATTCCTTCGGATGAAGGCATTATCGGCTGGCTCCAGGTGAAGCAACATGGCAAAGAGAAGACGACAAGTGTTCCAACTCTTGCAAGCATATTGCGCAATGAGGACTTGGTTTCTAAATATGTTGTTTTTGTATTTCCTGAACACCTGCTTTTTTAACTATGCTTTCTGTTCGGCTTGTTATTTGTAAATATGTTGGTTTTGTATTTGGTAAGGAGTTGCTTGTTTAACTATGCTTTGTTTGGACCATGTTGTAAGGAGAATTGCTAGGGAGATGGTTATGCATGTGCAAGGTTTTCCTAGTTTTAAATTTATGGATGTGCATTGCTTGAGTTTGGCTATGCTTGGATTTGAAAATTTTAAATTTAAATAAACCATGAATCTGATCAAACTCTTCCACTTTGCAGCTTCATAGTTATGTAAACAGTGGTTCTAAATCTGCTATACTCGACGATTTGAACAAAAGAGTTGCTATTTGTAGAGAGAGCATTGAAGTTCACTAAAGGCTTGAGGTGAAAAGAGTAAGTTAGACCCTTTGTAAGGTAGTAAAAACAAAAAAAGATTTGAAGTTCTTATTTCTGTATATTTTATTTGAACAGTGTTGTTTGTATATGTCATTGGTATTTGTATGTTTTATTATTCAGAAAAAAAAAGATTACTACAAGTTCGACCCTTTGTAAGGTAGAAAAAAATATATATATATGATGTGTTAACGTATCAAGGAAAGTGCAATTTATCTATTTACAATTTCACCATTGCTAATAAAACATAAGTTGTACAATAAAAGCTTTCATTTGGTGTGAAACGAACTGCAATTGATTCTTTATACATAATTTTTCTTTTATTGAAGGGCTTTAGTTATGACTGATGTTTAATGTTGCCATGTTTAATTTTGCCAGAGTAATAGACTGTCATGTTATGCTTCCCATTTAATTTGAAGTTATGTGATTTAGGCATGGAAAGCGATGATGACAACGATGCACGGATGGAGGAAATGTGTCATGATGTTGCTGCACTCGCAATCGAGTGGCAAACTAAAATGAATAATAATTATGTTGAAGCGTACAAAATAGCCTCCGGCTACTACAAGGCACACGTGCTTAAAATCCCATGTCGCACGTCCATCTTGACGGGGAGGGCATGGATAGCGGAAATGTATAATGGGCACAGTGGTAGATTTCGCTATGAACTGTGCATGCCGAAACATGTTTTTCACGTTTATGTTCCACACTAGTGAACGACTTCGGGTTGCATGTACCTGAGCGGGACCATGGCTTGCACGTTGAAGAGAGTGTTGCAATCTTCATTCATGTTCTCAAATACTTGCCTAACCGAGAGCTCCAAGAAAGATTCCAACACTCTGGTGAAACAATATCACGACATTTTCATAATGTTTTGAAAGCAATGAAAAAGTTCACCGTCGCGCACTGTCAGCCGCCCTCAGATTTCCAAAAAAGGAGGGATCCCCACCTGCAGACCCAACCACAGTATTTTCCATTTAAGGTGCGCAAAATTTTTTTTTTTTCAAATCAATTTGCATGGTCAAATTCTACAAAGATGTGAATTAAAAAATGCAAGGCTATAATGCATAAGTTGATGCTACTATTTGGTTGCCTACTTGTGCGAATTGTATAGGATTGTTTAGGTGCCTTGGATGGGACACACGTGCCAGCGTGCATAAGGGAGTCGGAAACAGCCCCGTATTTTAGCCGAAAGGGTTGCCACACTCAAAATATTCTGGCAGTGTGTGATTTCAATATGTGTTTCGTCTTTGTGTCATGCGGTTGGAAGGGTAGCATGCATGATAGCCGGATTTTAAACATTGTCACCGAAGATCCACAATATAATTTTCCAACTGCAGTGGATGGTACGTACGCATAGAACATTTTATGTGCACACATTGGTACACCCTTCTGCATCTGTAATGTACATTTGAATTGTCCAAAAATTAATTTCGTGGCATAACATATGCGCATTTCCATATACGTAACGAACGTCCATCCTATGCTCTTTAGGACTCAAGTGTGCGAATAACGTACTATACGAAACTTGTGCTCTGATACCAATCTGTCACGACCCCATTCCGCCCCTAGTAGAATGGTGCCATGATGGCCAGTAATCCGAGATTACCAAAGGCCAACTTACAAAGATTCACACACAATCAGAATATACATATGGGGCTTACATGTACAGAAGCAATAAATTTAAATCTAGTTAGTCCATAAGAGCTATGCATAGATTAAATGAAATGACATACATACCAACATGGTTTACAGCTTGAATACCAATAAAATAAGGTACGTGTTACATCTTGATCAAAAGGCTTCCCAAGCCGACATATACAAAAGACATGAAATACAAAGCTAAGAAGCATAATCTTCAAGATGCTAGCCAAAACATAAACCAAAACATCTTGCAAATAATCATCTAGGCGTCACCGCCTTCTTGCTCATCACCTACATATATATAAGGAGAGGGTGAGCTTGGATACTCAGTGAATGATATTAGTAATAAAGGTTTAAATTAATGATATCCGAGATCTTTATCAAAACAATACATAGCATATCTTGTACAAAATCAAGGGAAGAACCAAGTTCATCTGTCAAATCTTTCAAACCTTCAAGGGATGCTTACTAACATCAATATAATACAAGGGATGACATTCCAGACAAACCCACGCGGTAAACCGTCGGTGGCAAGACAAATGAGATATCTTAAACAAACGCACTAGTTGCATTATAGTCCCCTAGCACTAAGGACTTTCCAAGAATGTCATCAAAACAAGATAATACTTGATACAAAACTAGGGATAATCATTCATGCTTGACCAAATACTTTTCCAAAACGAAGCAAAGCTTTATTAAAACTTTATAACATAGCTTTATTAAAAATACCACTCACATGGCTCTTCGGGTGTAGGGGTTAAGGGAAAAATCCAAGACCTATAAATACATGGGAAAGTCCACTAAATGCATTTCAAGAAGACAAGAAGAGATGCTCAAAGATGGGTATGAAATGTATTCTTAAAACAAGCATTTCATGATTGTAAATGATCTCGGCATTTCTTTCAAAACTAAGTCAAGACAAAGCAAAACAAGTGTTTGCAGTTAAAACACTGTTTCTTATCTCGGGAAAGCATGCTGGGTACCAACCAGGTCTTGGCCGAGGTCCCACACCTCTTGGCCGAGGTGTGGTCCTGATGACCACATTCAGGGAAATGGAGTCTGAAAATTCTGGGTTTCTTTTTGAAGAACATGAATGCCAAAAATCATAACTTCTTTATTCAAAATCTGAGATTTCATGAGATGAGTTCGAAAACATGGACCTGGGTAACCATACTCAAAGATCTTATGAAAATAAACACAAAAACATGGATCTTGATGCAAACTTTTAGATCTAAACATGGTTTTATTTCAAGAACACAAGAACATCATTTTCTCTTTCTAAAACAAGCTTTAAATCAATGCATGGCTCATGAATAATGCTAGATCATGTAATGTGATCGGATTAACATAAAGAACAACAAGGGTAGATCAAGAATCTAACCTCAAAACACGAATCTAATGGTTCAAACTCTAAGGATCAAGCTTGGATTCTAGCTCTCTCACTCTAAGAACTTATCTTCCTCTTCCTTGACCTTCTCTCTCTTTAAAGGCAAGGATATGACAAAATGATATGTTTTCTCTACTGCCGGCTGACTTAACCCTCTGCTGGGACACGTGGCAATGGCTGGTTGGCTCTCTTAAAAAAGGTGACTGACTGACAAGACAAGAGTATGACAAAGTGTATGCAACAAGTAAGGTGACATGGGTACTCTAACAAGGCAATGACCTCGGATCGAGACATAAGCTTCGGCAAGTAAGGTCTCAATGATCTCGGCTAAGAAGGATGACACTTGGCCCAGTTGTGCCACACCTCGGCCTAGATGTGCCACTCCTCAGTCTAGGTTATACCAGTCCGGGAACAAGATCACTAGGTGCAAGGGTCAAAAATTTAGGATGTCTAGATGATAACATCTCGGCCTAAATGATACACATCTCGGCCAATATGCCAGGGTAAAGGTGGAGGTCAACCAAAGTGGTTTCAAGATGGTCCTAGGTGTAAGAGGTTCGAAGGTGTGACCTAGGCTTAAGATGACCTCGGCTTAACACACACCAAACGAGAAACAAAGCATGCAAGTAACACTTAGACAAAACAAATCAAGGTCCAAAAAATGTAAGTTTAAACAAAACAAAGATCATGCAAATGCACGTGAGCATGACTAAGACAAAGTGAGGGTTGTTACATCCTACCCCCCTTAAGGAAGTTTGGTCCCCAAACTTAAGTTACCTTGCCCCAAAAACCACTTCGGATGTCGGATTTTCATTTCTTCTTCCATTTCCCATGTAGCATCCCTGCCACAATGCTCTTTCCATTCAACCTTCACCATTTGTATCGACTTGTTCCTCAACTGTTTCACTTGCCTATCAAGAATCCGTATCGGCTTCTCTTTATAACCCAAATCTTCATTAATCATAATCCCGAAATGGTCAATCACATGCAATGGATCCCGAATATACTTCCTCAACATCGAAATATGAAACACATTGTGGACTTGACTTAGTTCTGGCGGCAAAACAAGTCTGTAAGCAATAGCTTTCTCAAGAATTTCAAATGGTCCAATATAACGAGGTGCTAATTTACCTTTCTTCCCAAATCTTAAAACTCCTTTCATCGACGAAATCTTCAGGAATACATGATCCCCAACTTCAAATTCTAACTCTCTTCTCCTCCGGTCAGCGTAACTCTTCTGTCGACTCTGAGCAGTTCTAATTCTTTGCTGGATAAGTTTAATCTTCTCAGTTGTCACTTGAATCAGTTCGGGGCCAATCAAAGCTTTGTCTCCTACCTCGGTCTAACATAACGGCGATTTGCACTTCCTTTCATACAATGCTTCATACGGCGCCATGCCAATGCTAGCTTGATAACTGTTGTTGTAGGCAAATTCCACTAATGGCAAATGCACTTCCCAACTTCCCTTGAAGTCCAATACACATAGCCTAAGCATATCTTCAAGTGTCTGAATTGTTCTCTCTGTTTGCCCATCGGTCTGGGGATAAAAGATGTGCTAAATCTCAACTCGGCTCCCAAAGCTCCTTGTAGACTCTGCCAAAATCTAGTAACAAACTTCGGATCTCAGTCTGACACAATGGACATCGGTACTCCATGAAGTCTAACAATCTCATTCATATACAACAAAGCAAGTCGATTGGCATTAAAGGTAGTCTTAACAGGCAAGAAGTGTGCTGGCTTAGTTAATCTATTAACTATAATCCAAATTGAGTCCATGCCCTTTTGTGTCCTCGGCAACCCAATAACGAA